TAAAAAAAGTTTAATGGCTGAAAAAAGTTAATCTTTTCTGCAGCGATTCTAGTAAAGTTGAATAATAATTTTTCTTAATAACTTGAAAAGTCAGAAAATTTTCAAATCAAATATTTGCATGATTGAAGTTTTGTTACTTTTGTCTATGTTTGATTTATGCAATAAATATAATTAAATTACTCAACTGGAGAGGCAAAAATCAGTGTTTTCTTATTTTAAATTTTGAAATAACCTTTTAATTGTTTATTTATTATTTTTATTATCTGTATTCTATTAATGATCAAAATTCAGCGATATAATGCTGACATCAGCAAATTTGTTACGAATCTTTTTGCCAGCTGTTGGTAAAACACAGCCACCATCAACTTTTCCGCGTTTTAAATCAACTGTGTAATAACACGCTATTCGACCTTTGAAATCAGTGAAACAGGATTCACGATGACCATTTAACAACAAGCAATGCGGTCTATTCTACAAACAATGCAAGTAAAAAAAAACGCATAATTTTTACGCAAACATTCACGCAAATCACGTGCATGCATGCATACGTACTATTCGATGAATATAATTTTAAACAAAATTATGTTAATGTACACATTTTAAATTTTACACACATGCAAAGAAATAACTTACTTTTTCTTTCTTTTTAGTGTATTTTATTCGCATTCGTTCAATATGATTGTGTTCAGCGATGAAATTACATGGCTTATTAGTTATAGCAGAACAACAGCAAACTGTTTTCATTTGTCCTTTGATTAAAAATTTTGATTAATTAATTATAGACTGAAAAATGATTTGACTTTATTTCTTCTAAGCATTGAATGTTCTACTTGCTAACTAATTCTTTAAGTTATCAAACCGTTTAGTATTTATTACATTATTGCTCAAATTGAATATTGGTACTTCATATCATTATCAGCACTTGTGATTATTATAATTTTAATTATAACTTTAGTGAAAGATTTATTATTATTATTGTTATTAATTTCATTATTGGGATTAATTTTGTTATTATTATTATTATTAATTTCATTATTGGGATTGATTTTGTTATTATTAATACTATTATCTATACTTTTCAAATATTTTATTTGTACGCTATGTGTAACGAAAAAAATGGGTATGTTTAATTTTAAATCGTATTCATATAATAGTATGAATTGATATTTAGCATGGAGTCTAGAGAACAATAAAACAATAATAATGAGGCTTGATTGATAATTAATGAATTGAATAATATCACTAATACAGTATTCTATCATTGTGTTTTATGCTAATCCTTCCGTAAATGAAAAGCATTGCTGTTTATTATTTAATTTTCTTGCTAAAAAATCTCACAATTGTTAAATAAATGAAAAAACAGAAAAGTCAAAAATCAAAAATTTACTTATATCTACAGGCATATTAAAGCAGTGCGCAAACATAGTACTATTTGCATATCGTATAGGTGCTTTGAATCTTTGAGCACACATTTTATCAGCTGGAAGTTTTTTGTTTTCCAACATAAAGTCGCGTAAACTGACAAGATCTGTAATCTGTTGCTATCGAATATTGTTAATTTTAAAGTAATGAGATTGGACAAAATTTGTCAGGTCATCTTTGAACAATACAAAATTCTTCTTTTGTAAACAGAAAAAATGAATGTGTATTAAATTTGAACTAGCAATTCAAATATGCTTTTTCAGGTCATAATTTGGCTTTGCAAATATTTAATAAAATATTTAAAAATACTAATAAAAAAACCAACTCAGCCCATGGCCATATACTTCTTCATAGCACCAGGTTGTTTCCAAAGATCGCCCTTGTCTGACATTAATTTCATTTTTCTTGCTTAGATAACATACTGTACCATACTACAAATGCTATTTTTAATTATTCATAAATTTATTCACTTTTTAATTTTTGTTTGGTAAATGAAAAACTTTTCAACTTGTGGGCAACTCATTGCAAATTAAACAACACAAAATATTTAATTAAATATTAAGTAAATTAGGCTTTGAAATTATTAAGCAAGCTTTATTCATAACTTATCTTTCTAATCGCAAGCAAAAAATCAGTTCAAAGTTTAAAATTAGCTGGCAATGAACTTATTAAAACTTGGTTAACCTTTTCTCGATACATTTTAAGATATAACTTTCTTTTCTTAGTAAGATTTCTGACTAAATATTCATCACATCGTGGTGTTGCGGTTCCATTGCATATTAAAACTCCAACTGTCCAAGCTTTCACACTTTTTGTTATACGGTCAATTTGAACTTTATTTGCATTAATTTTAGCACAACATTTAGTCCAGGCTAGAGTAAAAGATTAAGTCATTCAAGTGATTTCAACTTGAATCATATTTCAGTTTACTATGTACAAAAATTACTGTTTATGCATTAATGCTTCACTTCAGATTTCTGATATTTTGGCAATTTTTTCTGTAACTATATTTTCTTATACTTATCAAGTATTTAAAAAAGTCTGGATTAATCTTATGTAACAAAAAACAAATGCGCAATAAGTCTAGATAGTTACACAGTAATTTGCATATTCCTAACATGAAATTTAAATATCAAAAATTCAATAAGTGACCTCTAAAAATTTGCATAAAATGTGGACATATTTCTTATGCTTATGGCTATCCTATTATTTTGTTTAAGAAATACACAAAATTGCTGACAAAAAAATTTTTCATTTACGGTCTACCTCTACCTATTTATTTAAATTTAAAAAAAGCGATGAAATTAACCATTTGTAATCCACAACTTTTTATTACAGCTGTAATGCAGTATCCATTTTTGAATTTGAAATAATAATTTAAAAAATTTCCAACTTTAAAAAGTCATAAAAACTTTACAATTTCCAAGTGTTTCGTCTTCAAATATATCAACAACAGCAAATCTTTTAAAACTGTTGTAAATGTCTCTCGCAGAATATTCCAATTCCATATTATATCCTAAAATAGAGCAGAAAAAAATTCGATAGAATAAATACTGTATTGTTTTACTGTTCTTTATTTAATTCAAGTAGCTTTTTTGTAGCTTAAAGATACTAATTTTGTTTAAAGTATTTGCAACAATACCTTTTTCTACTGTATTTTATAAATGTGGAATATTAAGCATAATGATAATTCAATTAAAACCTCCTAGCCTACAAAAATAAGTTAATATAGATAAAGCATTGTTACAGCAATTTATTCAATCCAATAAATTAAAACTTGAAAAACAACCTGGAATGAGATTCACTGGCATCATTTGGCTGAAGTCATAATGTACAACACAAAGATCAGCAAAAATTTCTGGAGAAAAAATATGTTGTAAAACATGTCGATAAGCACAATATTCTGAATATCCATCCTTTTTTAGTGATACATATTTTTCATAATGCTGAATTATGAAAATTTATACTATTTTATTTTTATTTTATCCTATTTTTGGATCTATTAAGCATTTTAAAAAATTTTGAAATATTAATGATAAAAATATGAAAATAATAATAATAGTAATAATAAAAATTAAAACAATAATTATAATTATATGGAATTAGAATATTCTATGATTATAATTATATAAATATTCTAATTATAATAATTATTTTTATTATGGTTATTATAATACTGATAATGATGATAAGAATATTGTGGTAATAATAATATCTATTATTGTTTTTATATTTATATATATTAATGATGATAGTAATTATAAAATAAAGTATTCTTTTTAACTGCAGCTCATAAATTCATAATATTTAGCCGAACTTTCGTGCAATTTTAATTAGCCTGAATAAAAAATACAAATGATTAATTATTCTGACTTAAAATATCTTACTGTATCTAAGTTGCACATACTTGTCTGTCTGTTATCACAACAACAGTGTACCTGAAAATAGCTTCTGTTTATAATTAAAATAAAATAATAAAAGCAAAAACCAAAACAAATATTTGCTTATTTTCATAATTCTTTTGCATTTATTACCACTAAACTAGCTTATCAACCAGTTTTGTTAATTTTCATCAAATATTTCTTAGTATCGCAGCACTAATACTTTTTGAAATTTATAATTAAAGTAATTTGTTTTGTTTTAATTACAAATTATGGATGCATTACACTTGCCATTTAATTATTTTTTGAAGTATAATTAGTTTGTTCTAAAATAAAAGCTCATTAAAAGTTAGCATTCTTTTTGATTCTATTTCAAGTTTGAGGAGAAATTTTTGTCAAATCTGTTCATTATTATCTAATTAATGTTTTATATTATCAGCTTTTAGTATTTTATTATGATTTTTTTATTACTTATATAATTTGAATAATAGTAATAAATGATACCTTAATTAATTCATTACTGTATTGCAAAGGTTTTCTCAGTGGGCACATTCTATTACAATTTTCAAGTATGGTACACTCAGTGACACTATCTTTTGGGGAATATCGATCACAATCATTAGCACCAGTGTTGGGATTTATTCTAGGAATACCATATGATGCATTTACAAGTTTGATCATTCCATTTTTGCTTGCATTTAATAGAAACGAAGTTACACAGCGCTATAAAAAATAACTTAAAATAAGCAATAAATAAAAATAACAAGTGAATAGTTTTTTCCTATTTTTAGTAAACAGTTTTATTTACACTTTTTTGTATACAAAAATATTAATTTCAGTTTGAATACATTAAATCTTTTATATTATTCTTTTTTGGGATTCAAAATAATATTTACTTACTTAAAAAAGTTAAAACTGAAGTAATTGTAAATTCTAAACAAGTATGAATTCAGCAACATCGAGGCAGAATCTTGATAGCAAAACCATTAATTATATCAGTAGTGATCAAATAAAGTTGTTCGCTGTTACTTTTTTTAAACTTCAATAATATTAAATGAATTAAATTAAAAATTTTTTAAATTAATATTTGAGTAAGTAATTAACGCACTGAAGCAACAGATAAAGATTTGATTGAACTTTTTTCAATAGCAACTTCTGACTCTGAAATAGTTCCAGTAGCACATATATTGTTTTCTTGATCAGTTTTTATCACACATTCTTCACGATACTGCTGATCACAACAGCAGTGAACTTCATAAAAATTTTGTTTATATCGGGTAATGCAATGACCATCAGGAACGATCATGAGCTGTGCATCAAAAGAACTTATTAAACTTGTCTTGAAGTTTGAACTTTAGCTTGAACTTGACCGTTATTACAAAATTATCAAAGAATTTATGCACAATTAGTTATGAATTTCAGTTCCACAGTCAATTAAAAATAAATTACTTTTACAAAATTCAAAATTTGATCACAGATTTGCAGATTTAACTTAGTATGAACTATCCATTTTATCACATGCAAATATTTTCATCGAAAAAATAACAGATTTTAGCTGTGAGAAATATTACAAGAAATAGTTAAGAAGTACTTCAAAAAATTCTTGAGCCATTTTATAAGATTTTGAATTAATTTGGAATGGATTACAGATTAAGTCAAACTTGCCGAAAATCTGTAAAAAAAATGCATTAACTTTAAATGCTTTTATAACTTTAATAACTTTTAAATAAGACTAAGACAAATGTCTATCAAAACGTTTATTTGTAGTAGTCATAATTCAAAAGATAATCAGAAGAATCGCATAAACTTTCATTATTTTCAAAGTATATTTATCAAATATTAAACACTTTGGTTATTTAAATTTTCATTTGGCAGATATTGAAAATGATACAGAAGAAGCTTACTGGTGTACGGCTTGACTGATCTAAAAACGCATATATGGCAAATCCTGCATATCTTTTTAGTGAGGAATAGTTATCCAAGTGATACATACAAGGTGAATAGAATGGATGGCTGATAATCTAAATGGAAATATTCAGAAGCAGAAACAAATTCTGAAATATTACATCTTCTGTTATAGCTACTGTTGATATCAAGAGATAGAATATTTAGTTCTAGCAGATTGAAAAGGTTTATTTTTCGCCAATTCATATTTGCATTTTATGCTTATTTTTAGTATTAATAATTTTTAAAGTTTTTAATATAGTTTTATTTATTTTTTTATAGTTTCATTTTTGGGAAGCAAATTTAAAAAAAAAAGGTTAGTATTTAGCATTAAAGAATATTTTTATATACCTTTGAAACGAATTAATTAAAATTTTGACTGAATTTTTACTTGAGTAAAGCAGTCAAAAAAAGAAAGGATTAATCAAATAAAAGAAATTGAAACATTAATTCTGTACAATGCGAATTAAAGTATTAAAAATTGTTTTTTATAAGGATCGTTGAAATTCAAACTGTTCAAAAAATTGGCTATAAATTAAAATTTTTTAGCAATAATTTTAATTGATTTTTTTATTAATAATTGTTAATAATGTTTTTATTAATAATAATTTAATAATAATAAAATTAATTTCTATTAATCAGAATTTGTAGGCTTCACGGCTGTGCTGAGGTGCTGAGCGGTTGGCTGTGAGCAGCTGTGTTCAACGAACATAAAATAAAGGCTAAAGGGAAAAAGTCCGCATCTGGAACCACAAATGAAAACAATGCAAAAACAGCTGCGGTTGGGAAAAGCTATGTGAAGGATGTTAAAGCACATACTGCCAGTGTACCAGAATCCGGTGCCAGCAAAATGATTATGCTCGAAGCAATCGTCCGTGGAATTAAAAACCCACGAACCAAGTGGCCAGGAGAGGTGCTAAAAGCGGTCCTTGTTGATTCATCAAAATGGCTGCGATATGGAAACATTATCCCGCAAGATGAGGCACGATACTGCTATCTCAAGATAGAAATATGTTTGGAGGTGAGAAAGGTATGTGCCAACATTGTGCGGAACGTGTGAAGACAGTGGAGTATGTAGCGACGCAGTGCGAAAAAATGTTGCATCACGACTATCCTAGAAGACACAGTAGCGATGCAGTGCGAAAAAATGTTGCGAAAAAATGTTGCATCCTAGAAGACACAGTAGCGACGCAGTGCGAAAAAATGTTGCATCACGACTATCCTAGAAGA